ATAAACAGGGATATCTAAACTTATTAACCATACTATACAGAGCACGCTACATAGAACCAGATTTATCACACAGCAGCCCCTAAGGATGAGAGCAGAGATGACTCTCGAAACGTTGGCAGAAGATATGGTTTATTCACCATTCAGCCACCTGACGCGGGTGGTAACCGGAGAGTCTTTCATCAACTTCGGTCGCCGTGAAAGCTTCGCTTTATAAACACAGAATCAATTAATTCTTGAATGCACATCAAATGCATAATAGGTAATCAAACTGTCAAGATGAAATTATGTTTTTGGAAGACACCTAAGAAAGATTAAGTCTGTGCTTAAATTATATAAATGGTCATAGACAACAAATTTTTTAAAAAAAAATGGTAAAATTCAAAAACACTGAGATGGGTCTACATTTGCTAAGTGTAGTATTGTTTTCCTTTTTAAACATTAGGATGACAGCAGTCTGCTTCCAAAAGGATGGGAAGGTCTCACTTCTTTCACTGAGGTTAACAATTTAAATTAACAACAGAACAAAAATGTCAGGCATACCTTAATTATGAACGGAATTCTATCAAAACAACACACTTGGACAATTTAAGATACTTGATAGCCCCTGCTAAATTCAGTAGCACACATAGAAGCCGCAGGAAAAAGTATGACATAACAAAATGAGAATGCAATGTATTAAAAATTGACTTACGATTAGCAAATCATTGGCGACATTTTTTGGTTCTGTAACATACCGGTTATCAACTTTAAGTCAAATAAAAGTAATATCCTTCCCTGTAATATTGAAATATATTCCCAAAACTGCTTGAGTCTTAACACCATCGTCAATAGACTAAGTTTACAAAAATATAAAAAATAAGTAAAATGTAAAACAGATTGTTTTCTTGTAATAATGAAAAGAGTGATTTCATTTTAACGTAATGTGTCTTAGTACTAGAAGTATATATAAGGAACAATACGATTTAAAGGACCACTAACTACTGAGATGAGAACATTTCATGAAACATAGCGTTATCTTCAAATACATAATTATGAAACAGATAATCCGGAGAATGCAAACAGAATGCCAGAGATATACTGTGATAAATAACCACAGAAGGATAACAGGTATCAGGAACAATGAAATCAGGGTTACCAACTGCAAACCGATATCAGGAAAGTTTGTGATAACAAGATCAAGAAAATGGCTCTCTTCTGGGTTGTAGCATTGTGTAGTCCTGGTAGAATATGATCACCCTTATGATGGAATCACAAACCACCTCTGAAACATCAGTAAACTTCTACCAGACTACACGGCACCACAACCCAGAAATCAACGCCGAAGAAGATTATGGAGAGTGAGGTTGTACTGGTGAAGTTCAACATCTTATATGACAATTTGAATCTGAATAATACAGCCTCTAATTTTGGTTCAGCAATTTTAGCTATCTTGGGTAAAGCCATTAACCTAATTGTAACCAGGGACACTAAAATACCCTAAAACTACACGGACATGGTGCATATTCTAACATAATATACAAGGAATTAAAATATGTACAGGGGTACGATACTGACAACCACTCTCCCACATCTAAAGCTGAAGTCAAGAAGGAGGAGCCATATTCTCTCCCTAAGGGCCTAGACAGCACATCTCTACTTTTACTTCAGTGGTTTTAACATCTGTCTTAGTACGAAAGTAGTAACTTAAAACAAGCAAAGTGAGCTGCTATGAACAGGAGACTCAATCCAAATAACTTTGTATTTTTTAATCTCAACTTTGAACCCTAATAAAAAAACCAAAAAAAAAACCAATATAACAACCAGTATAATAGTAACGCAATAAGATGTCATAAATATAATTTTATAGTGCCGTCAATATGTCAGAAAAGAATAGCTAAAACATGTAAAACAATAAAACATTCAAAGGATATCAATAGTATCTTCCAAGTCTTCTAAATCCCACTCAATACTACGAACTGAATTTCGTAATTCTGTTGTTGTCCATTCCAATTCATCCTTCGAAACATTATTAGCTGTATCGTCTTGGAGCTCGAGCCACCGACGGTAAAGTCCTCTTGTCTTGTTCAGTGCTTTACAAACCTCACTGCAAATATAATGAACGTGTTATCCTTTATGGTAATATGATGAGATGTGAAGCTACTCTGAAAATTAAGAGAATGCACATTATGCACGTGGGCAACAGGCCATTTAAGGGCACCAAGTTTCAGTTTAATGTCCTGTAAAAGAATACACTACAAATTAATGCAGCACAAGTCAGAATTTGAAGAGAAGAGCTCGACAACATAGTCTATAATATTCATATATTTTTCCTCCAAAAAAGTAACTGTGAACCAGGACTGCTGTGCCAGTGAAGTATCTTTTAGCTGGTCAATCAGGCAACAGCAGAATTTTTTTTATTTACTACTGCAGCCAAACCAGCTGTGGGCTCCACCCCTACCTAATGGGCAACAGAGGTTGTTTCCCCAGGGATAAAGATGTGGCAGTACTCATGCCATCTACATGTAGTTTCATGGTGGATTTTTTAACTTTAGACATCATGAACAACAGTCCATCAACTATTTACGATAGACTTCAAGAAAGCCTATGACTCAGTTAAAAGAAAAGCTCTACAATATTTTGCTCGAATTTGGTGTAACTGAGAAGCTAATCAGCTTAATTAAAATGTGAATAAGTGAAACCTCTAACAAAATTCGTGTAGGTAAACATGTGTCTGATACGCTTCCGATTTCAAATAGTCAGAAATAGGGAGATGCTCTATCGCCGCTGCTTTTCAATTGTGCCTTAGAATATGCCATCAGGAAAGTCCAAGAAAATCAGTGTGGTTTGGAATTGAATGGGACACATCAGATTTTGGTCTCTGCTGATGATATTAATGTGTTGGGCGATAATACAAATACTATAAAAGGAAACAAAGAAACACTTAAGGGCTAGTAAGGATTTTGGTTACGAAATAAATGCAGAAAAGACAAAGTATATGACAATGTCTCAGCATCAGAATTCAGGACAGAACCAGAATGTAAGGACAGCTAATGAATCGTCCGAAAATGTGACAAAATCCAAGTATTTGGGGACGACATTAACAAGTCAGAATAGCATTCATGACGAAATCAAGGGAAGATTAAATTCAAGAAATGCTTGCTATCATCCAAACAAAATCTTTTGTCCTCCCATCTCGTATCAAAGAAACTAAAGGTTAAAATATACAAAAATGTAATTTTGCCAGTTGTGCTGTATGGGTTCAAAACTTGGGTCTCTAACTTTGAAGGCGGAACATACATAATGGGTTTCTGAAAACAGCGTGTTGAGAAAGATATTTGAACCTAAAAAGGAGGAAGACGGATCATGGAGAAAATTGCATAATGATGAGCTCACCTGAAATTGTTAGGGTGATAAAATCGAGGAGGATGAGGACATTCGGCATGCATGGGGGAGGGTGTTTGCAAGGTAAAACCTAGGTGAAGGTGGGAGCATAACATTAAGATGGACCTTATGGAGACAAGGCTAAATGGAGTGAACTCGATGCAGCTAGTTCAGGAGTGTGTCTGTTGGTGGGCTTTTGTGAATACAGTGATGAACCTTTGGGTTCCATAAAGAAAGTGGGCTATTCTTTGACAAGCCGAGTATACACTCAACTTTACAAAGAATATCCTGCACCACAGAGTGAGTGAGTGAGTGAGCGAGACATCAGAAAGCATGTAAAAAATACACAGTTGAATTTAAAGATTTTTAAATATCTAAAGTATTCAGTACCTCAACTGTTAAGTTTAATGAATATGACAATCCTCCAAAACACTGGTAGCCACCCATGAATCTACACACTGCCATGATCCAGATTTCACCACCAAAAAATTTATGTAAATCCCCATAACAATAATTATTATTATTATTAATGGGCTGCTGCTTGGCCTGCAAATACATTTAAATGGTACAGTCAGAGCAGGTAGCACAAAGAAACACAACCTATGATTATACTGTAGTTCTACAGATATTACAGCTGCCCTAAAGTACAGCTCAATGCTAAGACTCCAATGGGTTAAGAAAGGTGTGTAATTAGCAATTAAATCCTGTATGAGTGCCAGAAATTACACATCAAATGGGTAGTATAAATCCTTCTTAATCCCTGACAAATGCCTGATTTGACGTAAGGATTCAAATCTACCATGGAACTGTCCCTTTATACCACACATATGGGTTACAGTGAATTCAGATAAGAAACATAACAATAACAAAATGTACATCCTTAAAATTTCCCTTTTTAAGACTGGATAAACACTGAAGGAAATTAAAATGCTGTCACAGCTGAACAGCCCTGTGGCAACAAAACGGAACAGTAGATTCAGTAATAATGGAAATGGTCCAACTGAATGTTCAACCTCTATTAGCTAACCACTATCAATTCTATAGAAAGAATGACACATGAGCAATGTTTTGACAGACAAACTGCTTACGTCTGGCTACATGTGCAAAACACTTCCAAGTACTCGTTATTGTTGGTGAATTCTCCCACACCACACTTATAATATTCTGTTTGCTAGAGATAAGGCCTACTTACTCTTTCACCACGAAAAAAGGATCTTCGAGTGTCATGTCAGCACTCAACGACACTCATGCACTGATCGTTTGCTGTAATATCCACACAGTTCTACTGATATCAGAATCATCAGGAGTGTTATTTAAAGTATCTTACCGAGGAAGAAACAGAGTAGAACACAAGATCACCAAAACAACAAACGGGTACAAAAAAAGATTGCCGTACACGTCCAATATGTACTTTCCCCACCTCCACTTCACTATCACTGCCACATATTAACCATTAGCAAGTCACACAAACTGTGCCTTCTAAATGCACAAATTAACAACATAATCTGTTTTATGTAATCTCGAACCTACAGTCAATGTACACGATTGCCAATATTATAATACTAACCTGAGTTACCGAAGGAAATATTGATATATATTTATTAATAATATCGATTGATTAATACATAAACATAACAAGTAAGTGAAATGTCTGCATTCCATTTAAACTATTTTTCTCACCTTCACGCCCTAACAAAAGAAGATTTCTTGTTTAAATGTTGGCTGTTCTCACAGCCTGTGAAATTTTGCATAATCTCATGACGTCAGTGTTAGTTCAATGGCGGCGTATTCAAAATGATTAAATCATTTCATTTCAAAATTAGACATACATTTCATATTATTATACAGTTGCTTTAAAATATATCTGTCTTCTTGAATGTTGTACCATGCAGTCTCGTAGAATTTTACAGTTATTGAAGTTCGGGTATTTGATTTCCAGGTCTTGTTTTCTAAATTTCCACATAAAACATTCTTTAAAGTACATTACAACTGACGTCATACATCAATATAACCAACACAATGTATAAATTTATTCGGCCGGATTACGTTCTGTAGGCTTGAAAGTAATATGATTTTCTTATGTCAGGTTACTAGCCTGGCGATGAGTATTCCAGAGGTAAGGCCACTACATTTATATTCTGGAAACTAGCCTGGCGATGAGTATTCCAGTGGTAAGGCCACTACATTTATATTCTGGACAGGCTTTTATGTATAGCAATTCCTCTGTGCCTGATGCAAGTTATACTGCTGTGACTCGGTTCCAAACTTATTACTCCAGAACATAATAGAATTGTACACAAACAATACTATAAAAATTCAATTAAATAACAGGATGTCAGAAGAATAAATTATAAATCAACAAATAAAACATGGCTATTCCTTGTCACAAACATTGTTAAATATAAACATACATGAAATGATAAACTGCTGGAAATGGTATATAGCATTGGAATAAAGATGTCACACAAAATTGAATTAAATATCCTATTATTTGCTGATTTCAGGTGTTCATTGCAAATTTTAAAATAATCTACAAATAGGAATATATACTTTAAACCAAACAACACAACAATTTGGCATGAAAAATCATCTCAGAAAATGAAAATAATGGCCTTCAAAGGTACAGGACCAATCTGAAATAAAATTACAATTAATAATAGCCTACTAGAACAAGTTAACACATTCACATATCTAGGCTGCAACATCTCATATCAAGGAGAGAAAGATATAAATTCGAAAATTGCAAATTTTTTTTACAAATATTAGGACTTTTCATTAACACTTTTAAACCAAATCTAGTACAACAGAGTTCAAGAATGAAATCATATAAAACATTAGCCCTTCCATCCCTTTTACATGGAAGCAAAATGTGGACATTAAACAAGATTTTAACAAATTAAACGCTGCAGAAATGAAATACCTACGTTGGATGACAGAATATGGTCGACTTGACCACAAGAGAAATTTTAGATAAACTCCACCATGGAACCACCACATACAGAAACAATTGGTTGGAACATGTAACTTGAATGGAAGATCACAGGTTGCTGAAATACTGTCTGAAAGGGAGAAGACTTGATTGCTTGATGGCGTGAATATTGAGACTGAAACAGGTCAACCCCTGACCTAAGTTTGTGAATGGATTATGATGCTGAATGTATAACTTTTAATACCTTCTAACCAAGTAAACACATTTTTATGATTAATGAAGCACCATAAAATGAAGACATGTATGGAGTAAGGTTATAGATTTGTAACTCCTAATCTAGGTACTAGCTATAGTTGATCAGTCAGCTTCACATTCAGACTTCATCTAACTGAAAAGAGCTTCTCATAGGCAATAGATAGGACAAAGGTGATTCATAAACGTATTTAAATTAAATATTGATGTGGGCCTCTCAATTGGAATATGACAGAAACAGAATAGTAAACAAGGAAGTTCTGAACATGAACCACAAGAACATTCTATAGATAAATTAATGTGCAGAAAAACCATCAGCAGATTCTCGTGAAGTGACATGTCCCATGGAAATACAAGGCATTTGTAAGCCTCAGACTACATATATAATCAAAATGGCTTCATTCATTATAGGAAAATACGGTTATCCAGCTTTCAATACAAACAGAGATGATAATGGAATGAAGGACATGCCTACACCAACAACCAATGAGGCTAAATCTTGATTCTTTCTATTCCTTATTTTAAAATTTGTTAGCCCTAAATAACATTTTTTTATTTTTGTGTTGAACTAGTCAGAAAATGAGAAGGGAAGGGGCAACTAGGGAGACCAGTATGCAGACAAAAATGGTGGCTTGTAAGCATGACCAATAAAATCTGCAGTTCCTAACCTCCACCTCAATGCCTATACTAATAAAAGCTATAAATTTAATGTGATCATATAAATGTTAATTCCTTTAGAGTTCGTGACAACAAACTCAAAGCAATAACTTCCTTTCCTTCGCATGCAGTTAACACTACCTTTTTTGTTCAAAGCCCTCGATCTTCTTCAGTTATTTCTATACCTTCATGTTGAACAGCATTAAGTTTTTAAATATATAACCTTTCTTTGATAGTCTGGCATGAAAAATGGTTTTCTAGTTAACTATGAACTGTATTCATATCACACATGTACATGCATGTGCTTACCCACACATTTATTACACTATCATGTTAATTATGATAAAAATAAAGAAGATACAGCTGTTTTACTTGAGGAAATTATATGAAAACATTATTTCATGAACCTTAATCCCAGTGGTAAACACTCATTAATACATGTATTCCTTATTCTCAAACTTGATTTCCAAGACACAAATTTGTATGTTATTCTCAAACTTCTCACCGAACAAAAATGTCCTGGTCCGAGCAGAAGCGAACAGATGTTCAAGCATCTATTTAACACCAAAAGCCAAGGGAAGGGACTCTTATGAAAAGCTGTGATAAAATTGTAAGACCCTCCATGTCATTTTACGCATCTTCTCCACAGATCCTGAAAAAAACCTTTTGTGCTATACTACATCAAACAAATTATAAAAGCATCAATCTACTTTTTATATATTAAGGTGTTAAAAGTTGATGGGGCCCAACCCCTTTGCCCTTTGGAACAGACCACCTCTTACAGTATTAAAATGGATTAAAAATGTGTCTGATGTAGATTGGATTAAAATGACTCAGTATTGGGTCTAGTGGTGGCCTCTTGTGAACACATTAACAAACTTCCAGATTCCATAAGGGCAGGACCAGCTGAGTGAATATCAGTTTCCCATGAAGGATTCTGTTTCATGCAGGAATTTATGAAAATTTAACATGTGAGCAAAATCTCATGCTACATTAAAGAAAATAAGTTGCTACTGGGATAAATTTAGTTCCAGATGGACAATAAAACAAACACAAACATGACTGCAGTTACAGTCATATTAAACGCAGTCAAACTGACTAATTTCTTGGCTGTGGAATTTGATTAATACTCACCAGGCAATATAGATGCTGGAGGTATTTTGCTCTTCGGTTTTCATCAACAGTATGTTCTTCCAAAATGTTGGTATCTACCTACTACTTCACACTACGCTACAACCCAGAAGGCCAATATCGACATCTTCACTACCACGAGAACCTAAAATCCCATATATATCGAACAGTATGATAACGTGTTGTTTTTCAGCTCTTCCTGTCTCTTAACACTTGAAATTGTCATTTTAAGTATTCAAATTAAACTGTTCCCTAAATTTAAGTTGAGAGTTAAAAAAACAGTGAATTTTAATTAAAAATAACGGTACTTCTAACAGTAGTAAAATCATATGCCTGGAACATGACTGAAAAAATTAATGTAAACATATCAAAGCAACTGAGCAACATCTTTCGAAATGAATGAAGCACTGATTATTTGAACTTTCCTGCAGAAAACCATCAGTGGTGTCCGTCACACATCAGAGAAAGTTGGACAGTGGCACTCCATAACTTATGAAGTAATAAAAGACCAGAAAAAATGTTCGTGCTTCTTTTGCACAGCACATCATCTAATGATCGATGATTTTGTCTGTCACTTCTGTATAGGCACGGTGTCATGCAACACAGATTTCATAACATATAACAAGAAGGAATAATTGTCACCACAGCACACCACTTTCTTCTTCCACATGCTTTGAATTTATACCTGCCAGTATCCCTTTCAGTCTTTTGTGACAAAACCTTTTATTTTAATTCTTCTATGTGAAGTTAAAGAATGCATAAAATATATATGGATATATTTATGTCACGATAAGAAATGAGGGTACATGAATTAAATGAAAGAATGAAATATGGTACTGTTATTTCCAGACTCTTAAATGGTTAATTATAACATTTTTACATACATTTTATTATTTCATCTACTTTAATATTTATTATCTCTGTATGAAACATACATACCTATTCTTACCACCAAACTTCTCTTTGTCTTCAAAGTGTTATGAACTTGATGAGATGTGAAAATACAAGACACAAATATATCAACTACTGGCAGTGAATCATATAAAATCAACCGAGGTATTCTCTCTGTTAAATTAAAATAAACAAATTGCAAAATGCCACACATTTATCATCAAAGAACTAGAATTCAATGCACAAGAAAACACTCATTTAACATCTTTGGTATAAAAATAATATTGCAAGGTACTCGTGTTTTGCTGCTGTGCTTCTATCCACAACAGTATTGCATATTTTTGATAAAGGAGCATACCTTGATTCATCTTACAAAATAGAAGTTGTTGCATGAAACAAACTTAGAGCCTATGGTACAGGGTTTCTTTTAATGAGCTCATAGAACTACACAAAGTCTTCAAAATATTGGACAAAACGGTGAAATTTCTAATTAATAATTTTAAAAAAAATCAACTATTTTATTACTAAATTATGCAGAATTATTTCATAATAAAATTAATTAGCTCATTAATAACATGTCAAAACTTGTAGTCAGTAAACACAACTTCAAATATTAACCAGTACACTCGCTCTTCTGACATAATTTTCTGTGGTTTGCAATAGTCATTCCAGATAAATGGACATTAGATTTTGAAATTAATATGGGTAATATTCTTTTCTATCACCCTAAGTTCAGCATATATGATCATCTCACAACTCATTTCTAATTAAATAACATCTACTGTTGATACAGTGTTGTTAAATAATTACAATAAATCAGTCTTCATACTGAAGCCATACAAGATGAGACACAGAAACATGAAAAATCTGAAGCACCATATCTACCCAAATATAAGACATCTTAATTTCTAAATAATAAGGCCTGTATTAAACTTTCATCCTAAAAAAGAAACCTTGGAAACGTCAATGTATTCATCTTATAACAATGTTTTTGTGTGGTTAGGAAAATGTTTTGGGAAGCGATAGTACAAGGAATTAACCACACAACCAGAAGTTATAAATTATGTACATGATTTTTAGCTCATGTACATCATTATGTGAAGACCATGGACTCTACCACAGCTTGCCTTACTTACTATCCTGCCAGAGGGCTTCCATCCCTCCTTCCTGTCCTTCCCATCATTTTAGGGATTCTGGGATGAAGGAATTAGCAAAATTAGCATCAAGCACAAATAGCTCATCCTTCTTTAGCTTTAACCGCTAAAGCACCACAATCTTCATACTTCTCACATGATTCACCCATAATAAAATCTAATTTTCATCAAACACACTTTCTCCAAAGCAATCAATAACTTGTCCTCATTACTGAGCAGCTCACTGCGGCTCCATCTGAGTTTAATACATATTAATCATATAAAAAACCCTGTATCCATTCAAAGTTTCATATGTATTTGCTAAATACTTTAATTCTAACAAAAACTCAGTTTAGTTCTTGGTCCCATCATAGATATCCATGATGGTTTGTTGTCCCTGTTCTACCGTATTTATAATTAACATGCATTTAACTCCTGCCATAATCTCATGTAGCATAATTAAGTTTTTCATATACTGTTGGCAGAGCCACCTACTGGCATATGCTTTGTATTACCATAATCTCATACAGCATGATGTTTCGATAGAGATATTTTCATGTAGCAAAAGTATTAATCACACCAAACAACATTTTCCATTTGAATAAATTATGCAGACTATCAAAAAATATTTATATTGCTGAATGGTTTGTCTAGAGTCAATTATAAACATGAAGTCACGTGCATTATATGAAAACTGACTACAGCAGTACTCACAAGTTGTTATACATATCTAAACATAATGACAACAAACACTGCAGAAACAGTAACAAAATTGTGTAACCACGAAAATATTATATTACTGAGATAAAAGCACTAGGTTAAAATTGTTATGAAATAACATTTTTTGTGTGTGTAATCTCAGAAGGTTTTGTGGGATATAGGGTTTCACTCTTCATTTTGAAAGGATGTCTTAGATTCAGGTAGACACAGCATTTCTGCTGATTGCCCAAGATATCTTCGAAGAGAAACCACACGATAAGAGTCAGACGATGCTGAACTTGGTAAAAGTGGCAAGACAACACAAGAAAAAGAAATTTCCTTCCTCTTCTAAATGTTCTACTTGTTACAAAATTCTATATTTGCGTGAAATTGAAGTTGAATTTTTTGTGTAGGACTACACATAAAAAATACCCTGTTTGGTTAAATACTATTAGGCAAATGCTATAATAAATCTTATCAAAATATGGCACATCCATGAAAAATTAAAGTTTATAAAAATCTTAGCTTCCACAACAGATGAAAGGTTCTTAATTCCATTTGATACCACATAATGTATCAGGAACGTGGAGTAACACCACTGTTATCAGCTACTGCACCAAGCAGCTGTTATATTCCGTTCACTGAGTTGAATGTGTAATGGTTGTTAAAACACTTACACTACAAAAAAAAACAAATATTTATAAGTCAAAGCAATTACATTCTTTGGTATGTGTGTCTGCAAATAAACTATCCACTGATAATATTCAGAATATTGTAGCGATCCAGCAAATAAAAGTTCATACCAATAAGAGTTGATACAAAAATAAACTTCAGTTTGTTGTATCTTCAATATTTTTGGAATTGTATGATGATGTGACAAGAACATTTTTTTCCTCTAAAAATTGTCAAACTTATGCCTAAGGCACGAGTGCACAGAGGAAGATTGTATTAATGCCTTAATCACAGTAATTTTTGGTCTCTTTGTATAACCGTTCTGTTTACCAGCATGTGAGACACTGGCATGATCTGTGCATCCCCATGAGTGACCACTCACATCTCTGACTTTGATAACGTTCAAGACACATTTAGAGCATTTCTGGTATATTTCAGTGGTGTTTTGTTCTTTCAACTTCACTTTACAAAATGGTACACATCTGTTCCCTAAGGTTCAAGTTGCACCCGCTTCCAACATCCATCAGGCAGCGAGTTACTGATGTCCTCTATATTCTGTACATCAGCTTGGAGCCTGTCCACTTCATCTTGGTAGTCCTTCACCCACTGTGCCTGTCATTTAACAAATTGAAACCTGGATTGTCCATCGTTTGATGTTATAAATTTACACAAAATTTCAAGTACTGGTCCAGTGATTAAGATAAGCTCTTTCTAATGGACCCTGCGGAGTAGGTGCCCTTCCACTCCACACCTGAAGACAAGGACAGATCCAGTCCTTGATACATCGTGTAACTTTATAGCATCAGACAATAGACAAGGTCAGAAAACCCAGTAATCCAGATTTTATTACATCATCAAAACCGTCCAGAATAAAACTAAAACCTCACAATTAACACAACCTACTGTTTATTTACTACTGACTTTATTGGTACTGTATATTTTTTTGGTTTAGGTATACTTAAGTGGCTTCATATTTTAACTTATCACACCACACACTGTGCCACGAAATAAACCACACATAAATAAGGAAAATCCTGGAAAATAACATGTATTTTACCCACTGTCAGTATGTTATGTTGTTTATAAATTTTATTACGAGAATATTATACTCGCCTTTATAAAGCACACATCCCAAAACCATACCTGTGAAATTCTGGCGTCCTTCAGTTCTTGGATGCGTCCATCAAGATCTGCTACCTTGAATTCTTTCTCCGCTCTTTCCAGTCGCAACTGCAGATCATCTAGTACTGCGGGGTCTGAATCAAAATAAAAGGATGCACACACAGTACAGTCTCTTTACACGGTCTTGCCAAGAACCACAGCTCCTGAACATTATAAGAAAGTCACATTCTCTGACATAAAGCACTATTACCACAGCAGAATTCTTCACTCAGAGTACTGCATGTCTGTCAATATTCCTCAGAATTACAAACTGAACTTTCCCCCCCTTTTGGCTTGTGTCTAAAATACTTTGCTCCCCCATGGCTTCTATTTTATGATTTATTTTATACATGAAAATGTTCCCATTGATGCAACAAAGTGTTCCAGTGTTCTCACAATGGTATAAAACATAACAGGCGTTCAATTTTGTTCAACAATATATGAGAAAATTAAATATAACAAAAATGATTAATCATAATTTTCTTTTTGTCAATTGCAGAGGTTCTTACATGCTCTCTATTCTCTGAAAGAGGAAAAAGGGTAATTTTGGTTTAATGAACATGCATAAGTGGTAACAGTCCCATAGACATTAAAGGTACAATTTGGCTGCACGCGACAGAGACAAGCGACAGAATTGCGAGACCAAGACTGGTCGCTTCCTGTCTGCTCTCTGTACAATCGTATGAAGTCCAATTACTAGCGCGAGACAAAGACAGGCGACAGAGACAAAGCACAGGAGACCGCTCTCGGACCAGTAGTGTCTCGCGACAGGCTCAGGCAGCACGTGTGTTGTTGAGTAAAATAATGGCAGAAATTAAATTTACTGGTGACCAAGATGAGCAATTGGTAGAATCAGTAGCAGAAAACCAACCACTGACCACCGACAGAAAGATCCTTCTTCACGTCTGGTTTTGAATATTGAACTCATAGGTTTTCTTTGTTTCTTTCGCAACAAATAACACAGCAACTCATCATCTTCTTCTTCTTCTTCGAGTAACCTTTTTAGAAGCATTTTTGTACTCATTTTTCACAGAATATGTGCACATATGTCTCAACAAAACAAAGGAAACAAACACTTTGCCGCATGTCTCGGTCGTCACCTCAAAAGTGTGTGGCGACAAGCTGCGATGTGTCCGTCTCCCGTCTCTGTCGCGTGCAGCCAAATTGTACCTTAAGAACCACTGCCCTAGCTGCTGTGAAACATGAAAAAAATTTTGAGATCAAACCCGAGTTTAAACTTGGAACCTGTAAGCATTCCATAACATGACTTAAACTTGGCTTGCACTTAAAATTACCGATTTCACACACCTGCAAACAAAACAGAAAAGCAACTGTATAAGTCATCGACACTGTTACGTAGCAGTAAAGTGAGGTCTTACCTATGTTAGGTAACTGATTCAGTTCTTCAATAATAGCTTCGACATCATCCAGGGCTTTTTCAACTTGTCTTGTAGCATTTGCCGATTTACTTTTGGTTTGGCCCACTTTATTTTTTGCCTAGGAAACAGTAATAGTCACAACACTAATTTTATTACACTTCTCAAATTTAGACTAATTCCTAAAAGAAGATAACTTATAAGGTAGTTTTCAGTATGCCTCCCTGACAAATGCATTTTTATGCAACACGCAAACTTGGTACATCTTTTAAACCATGTATTTTACTGGATACTGTGAAACAAAGAAATGGTTATGTCTTCATATAAAATTCTGCACCCTTTTTTTTGTACAGTTTGACAAAGCAAACAATTCACCAATAATTTTGTTCCCATGTTTTTTATCAGCCAATGATGATGAACTACAAGGCTCAAAATCAAGGGATTTCAAGATTTAAAGCCAAGTACTGAGGTAATGCGAGCCAAACTTTAACTTTGGGGTCAACAGTTTAGTGGTATGCTAGTGTGGTACAAGGCCATGTGGAACACATGTAAGTAGCGACGCACAAATAATGATGGTTAACTTAAACCTGTTGTATTAAAATGTGTGCCATGCAGCCATGATACACATCCAAGCCAAGAAATGTACGTTTCTGTGAAATGACCTAATAACTGTTGTACTTACCACTGTAGTAAGTTCTTCATCCTGAACAGCTAGGGCTTCAAGCTCCTTAATTTTGTTTGTGGTAACCGCGACACGGCCTTCCAGTGCCTCTGCTTCATCACGAACTTTTCCAGCATCCTGCTTGGTTTGGTCAGCTCCTTGTCGTATTAAATCTGCTTCCTAATATAATTTAAAATATAAATTATTACTATGAATTTAATAAATGTATTATTACATTATTATTATTAATAATGAAGTCCCAATGTTATCAACAGGCTGATAATTTCAAATTACATGACTGATCAAATGTTTCTAAACAGATTCTGGGTGACAAAAATTAATTTTTAATACTGAATATTAGGGGAGCTTAGGTAGCTCAGCCAACATGGTGACTGACTATGGACTGGATGACTGAGGTTCAATCCCAGGCAGAACAAATTCTCTTCTGGCCTTTTCGTCCAGACTGGCTCTGGGGCCCACCAGCCTCCTATGCAGACCTTTCTCCATGCATGAAACTCACCACTTTCACCCCATCTAATGTGAAAGTCAAGAATGAGTAAAGGTTATACCTCCTCTTTTTTTCCTTGTGTATCTTCATGGTGTGTGCAGAAAATAGTTTTACTTATTTTACTGCAATGTTCTGCAACTGGTGTACAATCACGAGGTTTCAGGTGTCTCACAAATTGTTGTAAGAGAATGCTTATTTGCATCTTGCAGTTATAAAAAAAGATACCTTATCTTTCGTAATTAGATTTGTGATATATAGTGGATTCCGGTTAATTGGGACACATCGGGACTAAAACACGTTGGCCCAATTAAGTGACTGCCCCAATTGTGCGAAGTTCCACATAAAGGGTTAAAAATGTTTGTTTCCCAAATAAACGGCTGCCCCGATTAACAGATAGCCCAATTAACCGGAATCATCATTAACAATAGTTTAATCCAAAATGTGTTGCATCGTTTTCATATGCCTGCTTTCTCACGGAGTAAGGATTTATATGTAAATACATATTTATGTCCATGTACAGTTTCATACCTCCCTTCCACGAGGCATAATTTTGTGGTGTGTCATCATGTGTCTTCAACACCTTAGGGTGTGTCACAGGTGAAAAAGTTTGTGGAACACCATTTACTGAATACAAGACAATATACACTCCTTTTCAACAAGCAATGAATCATTTTGAGGTAAAATGCATTTATAAATACAATATGCATACCGCAGTTCATTAATTCAAAATCAATTGCAACAAATAAAGAATAAATTTCAAAAATCAACTACATCGCAATTCAGATATACCAAAAACATAACATATGTTGCATCAAACTAATTTTGATAGAAGTGGCCTATCTCAAGATATTGGTCAGTGACAGTTTCTGGTCTTGGAGATACAAAACTTTTGGTTTCACTGTCAGTTACTGATAAAGTCTGGGGAAGACTGAATCCCTTGTCACTGCAGCCTTAGATGGGCCCACTGTTTAACCCCCTTATGAGGTGTGCAGTGCAATGGCAGAATAACTGGCACAGCAAAACTAAAGTATTCAGGGCAAATCCTGTCCCAGCCCTGCTCTGTCAACCATAAATCTCACATACACTGCCTTGGCATTGAACCGTGACCCCCGCAGCAAAAATGAGTGACTAACAGCCTAAGCCATGGCATGGACACAGAGTTAGTTCAGTCAGATATAATTATATTCTGCTTCAATCTGGTAACAATTGAAGAAGCGTGAAACACACTGTTTTCATAAAATATTTTTAGGACGTACATGAGAAGCCTGTTCTGCGTACTTCTGTTGTGCTTCCTGCGCTGTGTCACGAGCAATTTGAGCACTGTGCTCTGCACCAACCAGTGCCTGCCTGGCATTATCAGTTTTGTTCTCTGCATCAGCGATCAGTTGCCGAATCTCTGGTACCAGACTCAGGGCATCCTCTGCCTTGTATTTACTATCTTGCACCTGCTGATCAAACTCTGTAAAACAAACATTGCTTACTTAACTTGTCTCATACAATTTTCTCACAATAAAGTTCAATAATCCATGCAAAAAATTTAATGCTGGTACTGATCACATGACAAAAACAATTTTTAATATAAGAAATAAATATACAAGCAATCTGATTGGTCATATTTATCAAAAAGGCACAACTATGGAAACTAACACATACATTTCTTGGATCAAGCAGTACTCCATGGGACTCTTAGTCTCCATAAATGAAGAAAACATTACCAAAATAGTTAGCATCATTTTTATGAATCATGACTTCCTGTTTCAGCGGCGACATACAGAAGAAATGGTTTATTCACCATTCAGCCACCTGACGCGGCTTGTTACCCGAGAGTCTTTCATTAACTTCGGTCGCCGCGAAAGCTTCACTTTATACAGCAACATACAGAGTTGTTATAACAAAATTATTCTACTGGAACAGATTTCTCTTTCAACCAGGAAATGTTACAGATTAACCACATCAAATGAGTGTTTTTACATATCAACCTAATAATGTTTTAATAAGTTGGATGATTTAAAAAATCTGTATGAAAGTCATGCCTTTGGAGGCCACATCACCATGGTCATCTTTTAATTCATTATCATAAGAAAAATTAAAATGGACAATAAGCAAACAGACACAGAGATGGTAAAATAAGTGAGTGTGTCAAAGCAAATAAACAACATCATCATCATCATCACGGATTAGCCATTAATGCCTGTTCTGGCTTCAAATTGATCTTTCCATCTTCTTCATGGTCGAACTCGATCTCTTTTCCCGCTAAATTTGTAACTGAGCGCGGCATAAAAATATATAAAACATAAAAAGGAATTCAGGTTACACACTATTAAATGATAAATGAAGTCAATCTATTTTATAAAAATTAAAAATGCAATTAAATTTGTATGTGTGAAGATGTGAAAGGCGTGCAAACACTAAAATCACGCAGCCAGGTATCTGGTTATAAATGCCCATAAATCAATATTTACAAACCTTGCAGTGTTTTTAATGTCTTCCTGGCTGTTTCCAGAATTTCATCCCCTCTACTAACCGCTTCCTCAGCTTTAGCCTTCGCAGCATCTGTATCCGCCAATAACTCATCTGCAATCTGCTGCTGACTGTGGCCCCTCTCCAGCAGTTCCCTTGTCTCATCGATCTGGTCCCTAAGGTCTTCAAGGAGGCTCTCATTATCAGCCAGAAGGTCTTCTGCTTCCTGCTTTATCATCCGAGCCTTAAAAATATAACACGATACATGTTAGGACGAATGCACTTAATGTATATACAGAAATAAATGAGATATTCTAGGCACTAATGCTTGCCATCAAAATTGATAAAGTCTCTGGGTTAGATTTCAGGTGTCCTGTGTAGTTTGGTAGAAGTTACTGACGTTTCAAAGGTGCCTGCTGCCTATCAGGGCTCATTAACATATAATTTCAATGCAAGGATGACTAAATTACGACTCTGAAAGAAAGATGAAAATACTTCATAGTCTATTCAGCATTCACCTGGACAGACTGAGGAAAATTTAAACTCCTTGTGAGTTTGTCTACAGTTGATCTTAGGCAAACTTGACACCCATTAGACATGAATCAGAATGTTCATGACAAAACTGTGAGATTTGGTGCTATCTCAGTATGAGACAGAAAATATCTTAAAATAAACCTTGGGGGAAAAAACTGAGAATTTCAACTGGACCAAATTGGCTCAAGGGTCATATCTGATGGCACGGATATAGCTAAAACCTAACACTTTGGGTGGGTGGGGGGGGGGGGGGACACACCCCTTACTGTTTTCAGTCTTCCACAACAATATGACGCCCATTTACATTTAAGGGAAAATCTTCTTATTTCTTATATGAACTATATTTTACTATGCAAATCACTGTTTCTACAGTATTATGCCAACACAGAGGAGGCGAGCCAGGTAGCACAGTCAGCACGGTGACTGGCTACGGGCTGGGCGATCGGTGTTCAATCTATGACAGAGGCAGGAATTTTTCTTCTAGCCACTGCATCCAGACCAGCTCTGGGGCCCACCCAGCCTCCTGTCCAATGGGTACCGGGCTCCTCTTCTAGAGGGGTAAAGTGCTGACCACTCACCCCCTTCTTGTGCTGGGGTTGAGAATGAGTAGGAGCTATACCTCCGCTCCCCTTAGTGCCAACATTGGCATGTAATGAGACGTATTTTTAACACAACGGAATATAAAGAGGCAAATATGATATATGCATAAGAGTGAGTGACCATAACATTATGCTTTTTATTTGTAGTTGATTTAACGATACTGTCTACTGACAAATACAGATTAATAAATACAAAATTGTTATATTGTCTAAAGTAGTGGAAACTCAATGGATACTTGTTACAAAAAAGTTCTCTCGCTGAATAATGGAAGAAAATCCTTTAAACCAACTTACCTCAGCTGCAGTCAATTCAGCAACTTGCTTCAATTTTGGAATATTAATTTCAGGAATGTTGAGACTATATATGTCAGTGTAAATTTTAAGGGCATTCGTGTGAATGTCTCCTACAGCTGCGCTGGCCACTTCAGCTAACTCCTTCGTATGTCCCAGCTTCTCTTCAGTACTTCCTAGTTCCTGTCCCAGAACCTTTAACTCATCACTGTAAACAAGAAATTAAATTATTAAATTAGACTACAGCCCAAGTTCAGGCCTTGGCCTCCTCCCATGTGGGAGGTTACTTTGTCTTTGAAGTGTGCTTTTGTGAGTAGTGAGTGACACGCCCACTGCCTCTGCACAATTTCTACTCAATCCTGATTTTGTCCGCTATAGCCATCTAGTAGTGAATCAGGAGAGACTTAGATGAGAAATGGCCACTGAATTTTGCTTACGAAACATCTCGTTCATGTTCGTAATGTCTTTTATGTGCCATAAATCTATAACATGGGACCGCCAGCTTTACTTCCCCTCCAAAGGAAGTTATGTTACGGATTTTTATCGCCCTTAAAAATCCATCGACCTTGGCCGGGTTTGAACCCACGAAACATGGGTTGTGGTGAGCACGCTAACCACTAGTCCACCGAGTGCGACTTCATGCGGGTAAGGGGCTACCTAAAGCCCTTTCAACACCATTTCATAGCTATGCTGTTGCCATTCCACAATGGAACAACCAATAAAACAACCAAGACCATGCAATGATGGCTAGCTCACGACAGAGTCCGATGGTGGGATTTTGTGAATACGGTGATGAACTTTCATGTTCCATACAGAAAGTGGGCTATTCTTTGACAAGTCGAGTATACAACTGACTTTTCAAAGAATTTCCTGTGCCATAGTGAGTGAGTGAAGGGCTACCATACTAATTCATGCTTTGTGTAAGCAACTGGTGTATTTTACAAAAACAAAACTCTAAATGTTGTTTCACGCAAATAAGATTGACTACTGTCAGATTTAAACATGGAACTTTTAAATAAGAATGTCAATGAACTACATATAATGGAATAATAAAAGAAATACCTGATTCCCTTGCACTCGCAGCCTTTCCAACACAGAACAAATAATAAAATAATAATGTGAATGACATATAAGGATGATTACTTTTTGCCCATAAACAAAATTTACTGGACTTGATATACCTCACAGAGAAACAACAATTACATATTTGCTTTCAAATATCTTGATCGATATATTTCAGTGTCCATTTCCAATTTAAATTATCCATTAAGTGCTGACATGAGACCTCAAACTTGCAAATGTGATCTTCACTACAACAAATGCCTCCAACGCTAGCAACTTGCCTAGTGGTAGAAATAGTTGTCAAAGCAAACTATAGTCTTCACATGTTTTTTTGCCATGTGACATAATCCCTTGTCTCGGAAATGCCGGTGACAATCATTCGTGTCTTTCTTCAAATTAGACGGATATATTGGTATCTTTAACTTAATATATGTGTAGCCAAAGTAATTGAAATTAATGGAAGGCAGGAAAAAGCCACAAATGGACAAATACAAGGAGATTAACTAAAAAAAATGTATTTGCTTTTAAACTTTCCCTAATATGATTTATCATATTTGCAAAGGCATGCAGAACAATCTTTTGATCGACAGATATTTTTAGAAAAGGACAAGTGTAGAGAGTTTGCAATACCTGATGTTTTGTTGCTGTTTTATGGCATCCCTCGCCAATTCATAAGCTGCCGTGGAAGTATTGACAGCTCTGGCGGCAATCAGCTGAATATCATCAGCTTCTTTTTCCTGTCTGCCAAAGACAAGCTGAATATTAACAAAGCATTAAAACAAGGTTCTGTTTAGAATACATGTTCAGTCAGGCCACAAGTATATGGGTCCCCATCTCCATGAGAACCTCAATCTCATACAGTCGTGAAAATTGCAAAATTAATTAATTAATCTGACAACAGAAACACAGTATCCACCAAGATCAAATTCCTATAATTAGTTGTTAGGTTTACAACATAAAGAGAAATACAGATACACGTCCACACAATTAAATGCGTGGATAGTTGAGAAGCTAATGATTGTTAAGTCAGGAACATTAACTTCTTGGTTTGCGGAGTGTAACATGTTCCTTGGGTTACTACAAGTACATTTTATGACACTAAAATTAAGCTAAGTAACATTTCTTTATAAAACAGCTTTTGTATTTATCTTCTGTGTTAATTTCATATGGCTAAATTAATAAGAACTCACTGTGTCTTAGTAATAAGTCTAGTGGTTTGGCTAAAATGATAAAAAAATAAGTAAATATAACGTACGAACATTGACACAATACAGAACAGAAGAACAGAGATTTATTCATGTGCCAGGTTACTCACTTTTCAGCCAAACCTCGAGCTTCCCGTGCGATTTCAGACATCTGACTACTCGTCTGCCCAAACTCTTCCGAGCGTTCCACAGCCTTCTTTAAAGCAGCAGAGCCATCTGTCTGCACGTAATCCATCGTGTCCTGTAGCGATAAAGGTTAGAAATAAATTACAAGAGAAAAGAAACGTCCTTTATCGGGGCAGCACGCGGGGCATCTGAAAAAAATATTTACTTCGACTTACTTTGAAAGACTCGAACGCCTTCTCAATAGTCTCTTCTGCAAGCGTAACATTCCCAATGCCTTGTGCAGTGCTCAATGCTGTTTTGTCGGTAAGCTCATCAGTCTGGTCAGTAAGTTCGCCCACTGCGTCAAAACGCTTTTGTAGCTCTTCCAGTCTCTCCAGCAAGCTCTTATCCTCACCTGGAAACACGAACACACCAACAACATGGAACTGAACCTGAAGTATAGAAACTCACACTTCCTGTTCTCATATATTTTTGAAAAAAAGTGTATTGGCACTTTTGTAACACTGTATCAACTGGCAGAGATATGAGGAAGATAACGGCGAGTTAGGAAGGATTTTTTAAAGAAGTAGTTGTGGCCAATTAGGATCTATAATATGGATACAGTAAAACTTTGAGTTAACATTCTTCAATTTAAGGTTTCTCAATATTCAACTTCAATTTCAATGAGCCCAAGTTGATCATCTCGACGTTAAACATCCTCTATTTAAGGTTCTCTTAAATTTACTGCCAACCGGATAAACCTTGCACTGGAATTTCATTGTACCTGTAATAGAATTAAAAACAGACAGAAAGGCACACAAAAGTCAATTTTTTTTTAACTCCTATCCTTCACAGTCCTAATATAAAATAAAATTACTTGAAAAGTCATTTCTTGACTATGTACAAACTGACTAATTAATTGACTACAACGAATAAAGCTAATAGTCGGTTAAGAAAATCCTGCCTTTAATGGAAACCAAAGAGTAACAAGGGCCCACCAATGGTCTGTGTCATGAGTTAAATACATTCAGCCACAAACTCCGCCCTATTTATTTAAAATATATTTTAATATTATCCTACCTACTCCTATCTTCCAAGTGGTCTCTTTCTTTTTATGTTTTCCAAACAAAACTGTCTACATTTCCCAACTACAGTGCTAGAAAACTTGAATATAATAAAATCAAAATATCTACGCATACAATAGAAGAAAAGGTATTGGGAGAACTAAGTGTAGACGGAAGGTAATAATTAAAATCTTACCTTCAATAAATAGGTTATAAAATTGGAAACTGGCTGAAATGGCTCAGGCTATAATCGAATACCTGGCTTCTGTCAACACAGTGATGTTCCACAAAAAAGAGTAATTTAATTCATTAACTGAATAAGTTCCAGCTAATCAAGAAAGATCTAGATTTAGTAGTTATTACATTTATAAATTTTAAATTTCTTATTTGTAGTACATCTCATCCCGTTACATGCAAAGCTATGTACTCATATAAATCATACTTCCTGCCCCATGTCTGGCTTCATTCCACAGCTGCTCCATGATTCTTTCAACTTCTTTCAGTTTATTCTCGAAGTCCTGATCACTGATGACGGTCGGATTACTTGCAATATCACTCAGTACTTTCTCGAGTTCCTTAAGTTTGACTCGATGCTGATTAGCCGCACTCTGTACCAAGTTGTAACAAGCAGGACAGTCTACACACCCACGCTGTCGATCGTACTTGTTTTCCTTGCAACGATCACACTGGCGGCCCTCCACATTCTCCAGACACTAGGAACAAAGTCAACATTGCATAAAACACCCATAACTTTGACACAACAAATACAATTTGACCAAGAGAAAGACACAATCTTCCAGGGCTGAGAAAAAATCTCGACTATAAAATAAAATATTATTACAGTGTAAGGTACACACTAGCAACCTCATCTTTACATGATTTATCCCATTTTACCAAACAACGTCCAGGAAGATAAGTCATTGCAGTGTAACCATTATAACCGTAGTGGATTAAGTGTAACTGAGGGTTCAACATAACTGGAAGAACTAGGCTAATGACACTGAATATTTCTGCTTTTTCCAAAGACATTGCCATGTTAATCCTTTAACATGACATATAAAAGAAATCTTCCCATGCAGCCAAGGTACATTTAAATATTAGGTCCCACAATGCAGCAACTAATTCCATGGTATCAGAACCCGCAGGTCGAACACCGACAACACCAAAGCCTGCCACTGGCCACAATCCAGAGCCAACTCCATCAATTTACCATTCTCACACTCCACCTCCCTAAGATCCATCTTGATATTATCCTCCCATCTCCTTCTGGATCTGCCCAGCGGTCATTTTCCAGAACGGTTTCCCAGCAATATTATGTATGTCTCCCCCCCCCCCCAAAAAAAAACAGTTGTAAAATCAAACAAACGCAGAATTTCACACTCCAGCACGGATCTGGGTAGCGGAATTTCAAACATCACAATATCTTAGAAAGCCTTGAGATGGCAGCAAGAAACATTTTGTTCTCTACTCACTGGACACTGTCCAAGAGGGTCACATTGAAGAGCAAGAGACCCAATCTGGTCACATTCACATGGTCTACAGCCAACGAGAGAGAATCCATATTGGTACGCCTGACAGACGTCACACCTCTGACCAGTCACACCAGGTCGACACTGGCACTGTCCCGTGTAGAGGTCGCAAGTATGGTTCAAAGAACCCACAGGATCACAATTACATGGCTGACAACCCTGAAACATAAAACTAATCCTCAAATTTAATATGTAGGTGCTTCAGCGTTTCAGCGTGCGCAAAAGCCTGGCTTAAGGCATAAATTAAGTGTAACACGAACAGCAAAGCAAACGCAGGTATTGCACAAATGGTAACGACTGTACACGGGAAACAAAAAGTTTGTTACTGTCCATGGTATGGGATTTTTATGAGAATGTCTCTACTAGTACACATGAATGCTCAAGAAGCAAATCCTATTTCTCTATTTTTTAAATTATTATATCTCCCACACCCTCTTTATGATATGAATGGATGACATGAACAGACAGACAGACTTTTTTTCATTTTCAGAGACAATAATTTAAATAATAAAAATAAATAAACAAGACACCGTTGTTAACTTCATAAATCATCTACTTGACATTTTACTTTGTATTCCAATGCCCACTTACTTCTCCACTGATGATGTTATAGAAACCATCTTCACACCTGTCACAATTCTTCCCTACGACATGTATTTTGCACTGACACTGCCCAGATAGCTGATCGCAGACCGGAGGACCAAACCCAGTTTGCTGCGTTCCATCTCGGTTACACTGACACTGCTTGCAGTCTCCCTTTGGTATTGCCAATGCATCACCATAGAAGCCTTCAAAACAAACAATAAATAAAGTTTCAGGTACTTGAACAGCAAAGTATAAAATTTCTGATGATGGTGATTATTATATTAGGCTTTATCCACAGTCCACTTGTTTTTTATGTAAAACCACAAGATTTTGTAACTTTACATCATCAGATAAATGGTGGGATGGAAACGTTCCACTCCGCTGGGTGAAGACTACTTCAAGCATGGGTTCCAACAGATAAGTTAAAGGACTCCCTCCCCTCCCCCCTATCATTATTATTTATTTAGTGTTCTGTCTGACGACAGGTCCATATGAACAGGATCCTTCCATCCTTTTCTCTTCTCGGACTGGGACCTGTTCATATACGTTCTTGGCAGATGATCCAGAAGTGGTTTGCCATTGCCTTCTTCTGTGTGTGAATGGAGTAATTGTTGGGATGCCAATGAGGAAAACTCCGTGTTGCCTAGGCCACGGCCTTGCCCAACACAAGTTAAAAATTCGGGCCCCGCCGGTCCAGAGGTGGTTTGCCACTGCCTTCTTCTGTGTGTGAATGGAGTAATATTTGGGATGCCACGGAGAAACCGGGGAAGCCCCCAGAGGAAAACTCCGTGTTCCCTAGACCATGGCCTTGCCCAACACAAGTTATAAATTCGGGCATCGAACCCGAGACCCCAGGATTACAAGGCCAGCGTTCTAACCGCTAGACCACCGTGGCTCCTCCCCTCCCCCCTACTCACCTGAAAATTGAAGTAGAACCAACTTCTGAATGTTGTGGTATTAAACAAGAGCATTTACACAATGGATAAGCCCAACAGAATAATTATACACACTTTACCAGCAATTTCATAAATATTTATACATTTCACAAAGAAATCAAAAGCTGACTCATGTCATTGCTAGATTCGCTTCATGTTATCTTCACATGTTCTACCTAGAATCCTAGAAAAATCAAATATAAAATACTATCATTTTAGCTGCTGTTTTCTACTTGTGAAACTTGCTTATCGCCCCAAAGGGAAAAGACACACATTGATGGCATTTGAGAACACGGTACTGAGGAGAGAGGGGGTAAACAGAATGATGATGAAAAATACATGATAAACAGCTCCATAATTTCTGCTATTCAACAAATAATACTAGAGTGATCAGATTAAGGTGGATGAGATGGGCAGAAGACAAATGCATACAAAATTTTAGTCAAAAAACCTCGGGGGAAAATCAAGTTGTAGATGGGAAGATAATATTTAAAAGACTTTGAAGAAATAGGCTGTAAGTGTATGGACCAGATTCATCTAGCTCAGGACAAGGTTTATTGGTGGACTCATGTGAAGAATTTGTCTTTGTGTTCCATAAAAGTCAATATCAGATTCTCAAGAAGTTCTCGTGGAGATCTGGTATATATATCATGCCACTAGACACCAACTTAACTTTGCGTGGGCCATAAATATACTTACAAATTCTGTAGGAAACTTTTTTTAACATTACAAATACGGTGATCACACAAAAACTTTGAATAACTGACATAATGGAAATAAGTACTAATGACAATTATTTAAATTATTATAAATGGATCATTCGCGATTTACCGAGGATCACAATACTAGTTTCATAGGTTTCTAAGTTAATTCCTGACATTTGTGAATTCATGGTGGAAACTCGTGATTATTGTCATCTGTTGACATTACGATGGGAATTTTTAATCTAGTATATGTTGTTAGCCAATCATGTCAGAGAAATTTAAAATTTCTTACAGACTGCTACTAACTAGCGTCTGTGCTAACTGCAAATAAATTTTCTGGCCAACAACAGGGAGAACGAATATTACTTCAGACTACCACCAGCTGGAACAAGTGTGCATTCACACTTATCAACCACCCGCATATAATAAACCAGCTGTTTACCAGAGGAATAAACACGCGAGCACATCCATCGTTTAATAATAACTTAAAATTTTTCAATAACCTCAAAAGCAATGAAGCATTTTAAGGAAAGTTCTTTCATACTTTATTAATATCTTGAGTTTAAACACACAAATAAAATACGTGATATCATACCTGGCATACACTGGTCACATTCACGTCCTCCAGTGTTGTATATGCACTTCAAGCACTCTCCCGTAGTTCTGTTGCAGTTCCCAACGGCGTTAGGATCGACATTCTGGTTGCAGTCACACGGCTGGCATGCCCGAACCGGTCCAAACCTTCCTGTTGGATCTCCGTAGTAACCGTCGCTGCAAAGGTCACACCGTGGTCCTGACGCAAAACAAATATGTCTTTGAAAAAGTGTTTAGAGCACCTTGCCGTACCGCCATTACATGCTGCCGGACTGCTACACGTTTCCATGGCAACAGCAGAGGCGAAGGAAAGAAAACTGGTATTTAGGTACAGTATTAAACTGAATACTCTTATTGAATGCATGCGGATGCAAGCGAAATTGACTTGGAAAAAATAACACATGGAAGAGATGAGAAATGTTTACATAGTTTTAATTAGAAGACCTAACAGGAAGAGACCAACGGGGGAATTTGATGTTGTTGGGGGACTTTTTATGCTTCATGTTGTAATTACAGAAATGAAATAATTGCAGACAAAACAATGTCATCTTATTCATATCATATTATGACAAATTTAAATGCTGATGGTATTTTCAAAGATATAAATAAAATATTCTAAAGAGTGGCTGAAATAAAAGAGCAACTTTTTAAATTGTACGAGCGGCACAGAGAGATTCAGTTCAGTACAATTCATTTATTATTGTGCATGACAACAGCCAGGCACAAAAACAGCAGTAATACAACAATAATCAAAATGTATAAAGTAGAGGCTCCCAGTAAGCATTTAATAAATGGGGTAAAGCATTGGAAGAAATATGCACATTGCCACCAGAAACCGGTTATGACACAGTACATGAATTCAATGAATAAACTCATATATTTATTTATTTATTTTGGAAATGCGTAATCTCACATGGGGCAGACAAAACACTAATACAAAATCTGTTTGGAAAATCTCATCAGAAGATACTTGGAAAACTTAGGCATATAAAGTAGAAAAATATTATAACGTACGTTTGAGAAATAGGTTGTGAGAATGTGTAATCACAACTGAAGAGACACTGGGTACAGTCCAACAAACAAGTGAACACTGATGATGCGTAATGATCAACAACAAGATTATATTTCTTGCTTATCTCAGTACTTGCTTTCCACACCTCACCTTGTACCATAAAGTTATTTAGTTAGGTAACTGGTTAGGTGGTTAATCTGTCACAGGCATCTCACCTCCATATCCCCTGGGGCACTCCAAACAGACAACTGTTTCGTCCACCAGCTGCGTGCAGGCTCCCTGATTTGGACACGGACAGTGTTTGCAGTCATAAGCAGTTCCTTGCAGTGAGTTACCATAGTACCCACGAGCACAGCGTTCACAGTTGTCTCCAGCTGTATTGTGCTGGCATATACAGCGACCTGAATGAACCAAACAACATTACATATGGGCTTGACAGAGAGAAGCCCTGTATGTTCGTATGATGCCGAGTGCTGGCACTTGAACGAAGGAATGATTTTGGTCGTGCGAGATGGACCCTTCCGAAGCACGCGCTAGAGGGGTGTCAGCTTCAGTTGGTTTGTAGCTCTAGCTGTGTTTAGTTCGGTGCGTCACCGCAGCTGAGGATGTGTGACCCCCGCTTCTAATGAACTCCCCTCTCTCGGCTTACACATCGCGCATTTAAGAGCCACGACTACTCGCGTGACCTCTGCATAAAAAAATTCTTTCCGAACAAAGTTAAGTTTTAGAAAAAGAAGTGCAAAAATAATACAGTCACAACTATATTTTTTCAAATCCAACAGAGTGGGAAATAATATCAAATAGGATAAAAGCAGGTGACCTGTGATCTGACTGCTTATCTCAACCTAAAGCTGTGGTAAACACAACACAGCAATTCACCTCAAATTCTCATATGTACGTTCATGGGACTGGTAAACCGGACCTTTTTGTTTTCCCTCATAAAATGAATCAATGGCTAGCTGACATTCTTAAGATGGAAAAAAAACACGGAATATTTTATGAAGATCTTACTTGACTACACAACATAATATGGCATGATCTACTATTGTCACCACATTACAGAAAATTCAATGGCCGCTAAGTCTCAAGACACCTTCACCAGACAACGCATCTGTCTAGAGATGTACTTTGAACGAACGTACGCTGCCTCGATCAGTTAGAAAGGTTTCAGATCCCATCTACAAGCCTCTGTAATGTGCAATAAGGCAGTGGGAAGAAGAATAATAAGAAATCCCTAAGAATTAAAAAAATAAGTACGAGATAAAAGGAGTAGAAACAACGGCTAAGATTACCATTACTCAGCATCCACCAAGCCGTAAGTAAAATGTAAAGTTAAATATTCTGGAAGAATGCATAAGACATCTCACCAAGTTTTTACACTTTGAAAACCTCCTATCCAATGGAAATCAAATTGTGTGAGGCAACCCATTGGACGCTCATGATACACCCCACTTTAGTAGGAGGATGTAGCATCCAAATTTGATATAACACAATATCCTAAAGTCAAAAAGGGCTAGTTGTTTGCCCACTTCTCACATGTGGCTATTTGCTGTTTGACGGCTGAATACAAACAAAAGTAAGGATGAATATACTGAGCTCACCGGTTTCAGCGTCGCAAATATCTGCATGTCCGTTGCAGTTGCAAGGCACACAAGGCGCAAACGGACCCCCGTTTGACGGTTCATGCCGAAATCCTGGGGCGCAAGATTCGCAGAATTGCCCCACATATCCATCAGGACAGGTACACATTTCAATCCAATTGGCAGGTCGCCCTGCTGCTCCTCGCCGGGCAGTCTGAAGTACCACGTCATCCAGAAATCCAACCCCTTATCAGAATAAAAATTAAAACATATTAGTACTACACAGAGCGAGCATAAAATGACTAGAAATTTCAGTGCCTGTAACAGAACGTCTATCACAAGTCCAAGTTTTGTCTCGGACTGACTACAGAACCACATGCCACCACCATTAATGATCCAGAAATACAAAGCAGAATGACCACTTTAATGACGTTATGTGAGAGTGATGTTTTTTTCTGGTTTCAAGAAGTACAGGCTGCCACACAAGTTCTGAAAACACTTTGGATCAGGTGAGAGTGCGCAGGGGATAATGACTGACTTAATTCTGTAGCTTTGGATGGTAAACCACAAACATGTAATATTTTATTCTATAAATGAACTCACCTTCAGGTGTGTACGTAGCTCTTACATGAACTGCAGTCAGGTTAGCCAAAACACTCATAAAATCACGAGCTGACAGACGAGGCTGCCAGCCAAACTGCGGGTGTTCATGGAGCCGAAACTTGTATTCTTGAGTCTAAGACAGTTAATAATAATATCAGGAATTTGCGGGCATGAAACGATTCTAAGATATAAAAGGAATTTGTGCTTCATTTGAAGGTGTTAAATAATTAGCTTAAGGAAAGTGATCAATAAATTTGAATTGGCTGAGACAGGACGTAATAACAGGATGGAAAAAATTACATTATTAGAAGCTTTGTACTCATCACAAAATGCTACTGGGATGACCAGATCAAGGAGATAAAGATGGGAAGGGCATGTAGCATGCATTGGAGTGGTGAGAAATGCATACACAATTTTAGACATAACTTCAAGGGATCAGACCACGTGTAAGACATGGGCACGGATTGGGAGAGAATATTAAAGAAATATAAAATCAAATTGTAAACTGGATTCATCTGGCTCTGGTCAGTTGATTGGTTTAGGTGAGCCAAATGCATTGATTTTACGTCACCATAACTAATGATGATGATGATGATGATTCACAACTTAATTTGCAAAACTGTACTGAAGCAGCAACATCCAAGACTTTTATTTTGAACTTTACCGGGGTTCGATCCCCGACGGGGACCGAGAATTTTTCCTCTAGCCTCTGCGTCCAGACCGCTTCTGGGGCCCACCCAACCTCCTACCCAACGTGTACCACGGTCCTTTCTCGGGAGTAAAGCGTGGCCGGGGCGTGATGCTGACCACTCACCCCCATCTAGTGCCGAGGTCAAGAACGAGTAGGAGCTATACCGCCTCTCCTCCCAAGTGCCTACATGGTGTATAGTGGGGCAGCTTTGCATGCTTCAGAAATAATGAACAATACCAGACAAAAAGCAGTCAACATTTAACTAGACAAAAGCCACTTACAACTGTTGAAGGAAGAGGATTTTGCTGTCCAAAAATTGCCTGAGTAATGGAAAGACCAGCTCCTTCGAGTACAATATCCTCTACAGTGGGTGATGGCCCATTTTCTCCAATCCTCAGCTTGAATGTCAGGTCTTGATTGTAACTGGCTCGTTGGTCACCCAAGAATCTGTCTGGAAATATTCAGCAGTTTGTACCAAAAGATTCCTCCTAAAAGGTGAAGGAGTTTAAAACAATTCCTACAATTTAACTAGCACACTTTGTTCTTTAGAGAAACAACAAAACAATCTTAAAGTCTGATCTATTTTTATTTGCGTACAGCTTGAAGATTACACGTCTGCTGGAAGCAATAAAAAATTTATGGGTAATCAGTCGTATCAACATGAAGCAAAAGCCCAAATTCATAGACCAAATTACCCAAAATATTTTATCACACCGACAGATTTAATAAACAGAAACGAAGTCTTGATTTACGAGAAACCGATGATTCAGATACTAGCTCATTCTCTGATAATCTCCCTGATGATGGGGGCAGAGCCAGTCTGAAACACTGGTTTCTAACTCAGTAATGACATCGCTGCTCGGCCAAAAAAAAAAATTTTTTAACAATTTTAAGCATAATTGGTCTAATGCAGTGATGCTAACACCAGGGATACTTTTTTTTGGAACAGAGGACTAAAATTTATTTTTAAGTGTGTCATATATTGTATGAAAATATAAAATTATCACAAAATAAAATAACGAAGCTGTACTAATTTATAACATATACTTAATTAGAGATAATAATGTAATATTGACAATTATTCTATCTTTTAATTTTATATAACCGTCCTCCTATTCAAATCCTCCTCCTCTTCTACTTCCTTGGCTCTACAACTCAATCTTAAAACCGCGCACACAGTGCAGGTTGAATATTTGTCTAAAATATATAAAATTATGCATACAAAACAAAACTGTTTATGATTTTAAGTATTTTAGATAAATCTCCATTTCGGAGGATTTCCTAGTCTTTGAAACGTGCATTTGTGAGTAGTGAGTGACACGCCCACTGCCTCCACACAATTCCTACTCTGTCCTTATTTTTTTCTGCCAGAGCCATCTAGTAGTGAATCAAGAGAGACTTAGATGAGAAATTGCCGCTGAATTTTGCTCTCGTTCATGCTCGTAAGGTTCTTTTATATGCCGTAAATCTACAACATCGGACCTTCCCCTCCGAAGGAAGTTGTGCTACAGATTTTTACCACCCTTAAAAACCCATTGACCTCAGCCGGGTTTGAACATGCGAACCTTGTGTCCACGCTAACCACTAGTCCACCGAGGGCGACTATTCAAATCCTTACAGAACACCGGTGTAATGAGAGAATCAAAATGTATTACGCCATCACATCATCGGTCTCTCCGCTCGTTACCTGGTGCCACAAAGTAGATAGCCTCTCTGCCTGGAGCACTGGCCCCAATGGCTTGTGTTATACCATTGTACTGGATACTCAGAGTATGTCCTCTGTAGTCCTGCGCAGACCAACGCTCGTTGCCTCGAGCAAAAATACTCGCAATCTCTACTTTTGAGTAGCCGGGCGCAGACCGGCACACTGAGGAATGGCCATAGCAGAAGCAGGGTGTGCAACCAAATTCATTCTCAGTATCCAGATTGAAATATCCAGGCTTGCAACTGCAACAAATTAAATGACATTATGATCTCACCAGGGCTTTAAGATGCCGACATCTCGTTACTGCTACAACTCAGGTTACGTTGATTACGGCTTGATATGTACTGGATGTGTGATAACCTACAGAAAGATGAATAAGACGTGATTTGAACTACGTAAGTTTCCAAATGAATCCTTTGTGATTTTTCATTCCCCATTAGTGTTTCATGTATTTATACATTTATTTATTTATGCATGATTTAAATATACTTTCAGTAGCTCAAATTATGTAACATGGAATGAATGACAGGATGGTTATAGAACGACGAATTGGAAATGGTGCGGAAGGGATCTCACAAATATCAAGCAGGAGTGACAACCATACAGTCCTGATATTTGGTCTCGTTAGTGCCGACGTTGATTTACAGCAGGTACAAGTTTACATGCACACAAGAAAACAATCCGTTGTTAAATGTATTTAAGAGTGAATATGTTATTTCGGACAGAGCCGTACATTATTTTTGTTTCAGTCTATTACATAAACACCATACTGAAAAAATGTTACAAGTAACATTTATAAACCTGTATTTTTGTACCAGGAACCAATTGTTTTAACCAATGAGCTGTGTTTAAAAATCTAGTAATTTTAATTAAAGAAAGCAGGACACCAGTAAGAATCAAAATTAAAATTTACCTGAGAAACTTCAGCAAAGAACCCCCATCACCAATATATTAAAACTCCAAAAAAATCTTAATGGACTGACTAACATGAATTACTCATTGTATGTTCATTTCACACAATTCATGGTAGGAATTTATAAAAAGTACGTATTGCATCACTCGTTACTGAAAATCAAGTTCCGTGTATGTCGAAATATAGGAGAACTGAAGTTTTCTTATAAAAATCGTAACTGGTTGTTCTGGAGAAGAGACCACAGTTCTTGGGCTTTGTGACTAGTGTTTGAACATGAATAAATATTCTTTAATCATTAAATTGAAAAAGAAGCGTATATGTGTAGCCAGAACTCTGGTGGTCTATACGCGGCACACGGAACACACTCCCAGAATATGGGACGTGTCAATTTTCGTCCATATCTTCCTCAATCCTCCTCTCCATCAATAAGAGTTAAAAACTTTATGAATGTGAGGGCGTTCCAAGCCCTCAGCATGACTAACGGACATCTCTCTCACCCTGCCACTGTAACGGAATCCTAACCATAGGCCAGCTCCCAACATAGAAGTGAATTCTTGATCCTGTTGGTGAGCAAAGACTAAAAGGAACACTACAACTTGAGGCTTCAGCTTATTTTCTTATTTAATGAAGCTGTATCAACTGAAGGGATTATATAGCACTCAATAAGCTGTATATATGATCATGAAGATTTTAAAGAAAAGTAATTTCTTATGAAAAGTTATTAATACGACACTTGAAATGAAATTAAATCCGTGGCGTAACAGCTCCAGAGAGCCAGAGCCGACTAGCTGGCTGCCGGCCTAAGCGGAGGTGAACGATCATCCAACCAGATATAGGGTGACGTGTGGTCAGCACGACGAACCCCCAGCCATTGCTAGCTTTTCCTGACCGGATTACGCTACTTATCGTAGCTCCCCAATTTCCTCACGATGCTGGGTTGGCACCGGTCGAAAGCTCACGAGAAAATTTCTTCTCCCCCGAGACTCGAACCAGCGCGCATTGCGTATCGCCGGTCCGAGGCATGATGCCTCAGACCGCGCGGCTACGGCGCGGGACTAATACGACACTTACCTAGACAGAAATGCAAACCACGCAACAAGATACAAGACAGTGATTTTAAAAACGAAGAGATATGCAGCGGCCAATAACCCGGATAAGATTAAATCATGTACATCACAAGTATAAGGGGAAGGGAATATCTTATTTGGGTGCAAACTCACCCTCCACATCTCTTGCCTTCGACATTTTCCTTGCATTGACAAGTGCCAGAGTACGGATCACATCTGGGCTGATTTCTCAGACTGCCCGCTGCATTACAACCGCACGGTTTGCAACCCTGGTTACTAAAATCATAATGATTCTCTTCGCAGCGGTCACATTTCACCCCAGTCACTCCAGGCTTACACTGGCATTTTCCTTCACTGTTGCACTGCAGACTCCTAGATCCTGGAACATTACATTTAAAATGCGTTCACTTACCAACAAACTCGCAAAGTTTTCACACAGATGAGCTCACGAATTGAACCAGTATTTTAACATCAAAGTATTTCTTGCGTGTGCCAAGAAATGTGTACAGTTCATACCCTTCATAAAATTGTTAACCATGTTTTCAAAGAATTTCATAATTTATTTATGTTTTCCTGCCTGAAACTAAAGTTATGCTCCAGGTTGGGGGTTGGTCGCAAGGCCAACAACCTTGCACCATAAGAAGGAAGACGTTTCGAAACCTCGATCAAAGCCTCGGACAGAGGGGAAGAGAGAGGGAAGAGAGAGGGAAGAGAGTGAGGGAGAGGGGGGGATATATGTCCATGTTTTTTTATGTACTAAAAATTGCGAAGTCAAATACAGTGTGTCCCATAACCTCAAAGCCATATTTGGCAAAATACAGGTAAATGCAAAGAGGGGGAAACAGTTTGAAGTCATGGTTTCCAACCTGAAGTTTCAATTTTTGCATTCTTCATACTATAAATAGTAAAATTTGAGGCAGCGTTGCCATGTCGACTTGACAGCAAAAACGTAATTTCACCAGACACTTTTCATTTGTTGACAATTTAATCATACGTATTAAATAAAACTCAGTCTGACGTTTGTTTGCTTAGAAATAAGTTCAGTTGCAGTCACAGAGGTACAAAGTTTTCAGTAATGACTGCAAAAATCATTTTTTTTACAAGCACTGCTACCATTGGGCAGCCTTACGAATTACTTACCAGTTCAAGCAACACAGGAACTACCACATTTGTTATTTTTCATCGTTGTTCTGAGTTCAAAAAGATGGGAAAAGAATATGGAATACAGAAGGGAAGGAGTCAAATTACATAAGGGATAAAGGTATAAAAGCAATTATTCCCCATTTGATTTCAAAGGGCCTCTTACACTAGTCGCCGAATACCAAAGCAACTAATGGAAGCCGATTTTTGGCCGTTCTGTACATCTGCCGGCACGTGCCGTCGTGAGCCAATCAGCTTTAGGCAATTGTGCGTAAGTACTATCTCACTCCTCCGCCCCCTCTGACACTGCAGCTACCGTCTTCGTTCGTGTAGTCACTTCAGTGGACTGAAAGATTTAATAAAATGGTTTTCTGTTCTTGGAGGCAAGCCTAGAAGCTAGAGGAAAGACAAACATGCAAACGTGATGGAAAAAGAAGTATAAATGCAAAGAGCTTGCCTATCTCATTGCAGTTGCAGGCAATGCAGTAATTATCTTCTCGCTGAAAATAGTTCTCACGGCAGCGTTCACAGTTCGGTCCGTCTCTGTTCCCTGTGCAGTCCAGACAATGGCCGCCATGCCCTGTTCTCTCATATAACTCCTTGTCGAAAAAGCACCGATTTGAAAACCCATTGCAGTTACAAGCTGAAAATAAAAAAAAGACAATTTAAATTATTAAAATTAATGTATAATTTTTTAATAGCGTTCATGCTAAGTGTGTAAAATGAATTTACATTAAGCATAAAAACAGCTCATATGAATAATTACTATCTGATAAAAAAAATATCCACCGTCAAATGTTGAGACACCTTCCAATATGGCAAATAATTTTATTCAACAGTAAAAAAAAATATTTTTTTTTTGGCTCTGTACAATGTCTGTGGCGCCATTAACTTTATAACAATGTGTTTCTGTTTAAAACACGAACACCAGAGGTCGGGGTTCAAAATCGACTTGGGGTATCGATATATGTCGATATTATTTTGGCTTGTCGCGTTTTCTTTGCAGATTGTGATGTACCAGTTCTCCACACAAGAAGTTCTACAAAATTTCTAAAATATTTATACTTCCAAAATTCTGAAATGAAACACCTGAGGGCTTAATCTAAGACAGCTGAATAATAACAATAACAATTATGAGGTATCTTACTGCGTGACTGAACTAAGGTAGCAATGAACTTGAAAAGGTTTTCACTATTCATGAAGGTTGGAAGACAAGAAATATTACTAGGACAGCGGCGAAATGATTAGATTATATAAGAGTTATCACTTACAAACTGGCACGTGTCGAGCAGACAGTGGGTGTAGGTCGGTCTAAAGTGCAACACAAATCTTGTCAGAAAGAACCAATTGCCAACATAAAAATAACAAGACTGGAAAGGTGTACTCTTTGGAGCACACGAAATGTACGCAGCACAAACTCCACAATTCTTTGTTCTCTGCACACAACCCCTTTCGCTGCAACGGGGAGAAAACTGGGTCCGCCCTTTTTCCAGTCCAAGCTGAGTGAGTCACGTCACGTGACGCGGTGGAGCTGGGCAAAGTCAACACAGTCAAACGCCTGATCCAGATTTCCAAAACAAAAACACATCGCCCTAGTCCTGACTCGACAAAGGTTCGCATTGTCGCCATGTTGGAGGTTTAAAACATTAACAAAAAAAACTTCTGAAAATAATCGACGTCCCTTGCAATCCACACACTTAGCCACGAAACAGTTTTAACACAACTTTATTATAAAACTAATTTGCCTGAATTATTCAGTAGCGATGTCTGATTGTGAAGGCCAAATACTGAATATAATAAAAAAAAAAGAACAGATACTAAATCTTAAGGTACATCAGAATTTTTCCGACTGCAGGCATTTAACAGGAAAATTAAATAGAAAATTAAACTATAAGAGAGAGGAAAAGAAACGAGGAACTGGAAACCCTACAACTTTTTTTTTCCCGGTCTGTGTCGTGGCATTAACCCCGTGAATCCTAAGCTCATCATGAAACACAATACGTCTCCATTACAAAGATAATCCGGTTAATGCTGTTTAGGGAAACAATCGATGTTTACTCCGAGAATCATAAGAAACGCATCAACGCACTCTGTGAGCAGAATGCAGAGTTACTAAATGCCGAAGTAGTACGTGTGGTTACCACTAAACGGTTAAAAGGCAGCACACGGCGGGACAACACATTATTTTTCTGGTCGACAACCACAAGGACTGTTCACAACTGCTGCTTAGATTCGTTCAAGGAATAAAATCTGTCAGGCTATAATCAAATTTATAAAATAAAATATATTAATGTCTTCAAGAAAACCAGTCGCTTAGAAATTAATTATTGGCAATTGAATGTCTTGACTTCGTGTTCCTTTAATGATATTTTAAATCTCTATTAACATTAACGTAACATCAGAAAGAGCTGAGACAATCAGTAAAATAATTTATTAGCAACAAGAAAAAGAAAACTATTTTCTGAAATATCCTAACAGCATAGAACGATATTCCATGACAACCTATAATTCGCCGTGTTTCAGTAAACAAAAAAGATTATCAAACCCTGCTAGAACTGGCTTCTGGAAAATCGAGAAGGCTGAGATGAGAGTAACTGAATGCACAGTTGTCGCTTTACGTTTCCTCTTTTCAAATTTTCATAGGTCATCTTTTCTGAAAGAATACCTTAATTGTCAGCTATTAAATATATGTTGGTATTCGTGTGCCGTCGAGGCAAATAAGAGAATTTTCTACTTTTAGTGTGTGCAGTGCGCGTAGATATAGTCCTTCTGCGAGGTGCGTCATCACTGCAAATGACGTATGTAAATCTTTGGACGTATTTGGCATAAACATTTTTGAGGGCACTTTCTCACTAAGAGAAATGATTTAGAGAGTGGTCTAGATTGGATCTAGCTTGGTTATTTGTTTTAATTTGCTTTCATTTTGTTTCCTTACATTGTTTTAGTATTTTTTATATTTAAATTAAGAGTTTTCCTGACATAGGCTCTTTGCTGTTGTCAAACACTCTAATAAAGGAATTGAATTAAATTTTAGATTTATTCAACGACGTTTGTCTCTCAGACTATACAGCGCTGAATGATATTCGTGAAAACCGAAATCCGGGAAGATTCAACAGACACTGGATTACAAAGACACGTTTTCCTCACAGTTATTCAAGAACACTTCGTCTAGCTTCTCAACAGTGACAACAAAACTGTTATGCCTTCTATCTCAGTGGAACAAGACTGGAAAGGAATAATCCGTGTGCCGGAATACACAAACGCCTTATTCGCAAATTCTGAATTATCGAGTTTACGTCAGTTGATATGCGTTATATAAAACTGGTCCCATGTATTTGTCCGTCCGTATGATTTAACTCGACAGCCGATGTACGAACTTAGATGAAATTTCGTATAGACATTGCGCCACTGGTGACTACGAAATACAAAGAATTGTACATCAAATTTTGTATTTTACTAAAACCTGTAATCATACTGCAAGTGGCCCTAGCATCAATCACACTTCACAAGTATTACGAAAAGTACGAATTTAGGATAGTTTCCAGTGACATAACGCCCATGCCAAATTTCATTCAAATCCATCCAGCGATTCTAGCGGTGAACCTTGCGGACAGACAGACAGACGAGCCCTATATGCGTTCAATTCATGCCTGTGCAAAGAAGCAATCCTTTCCACAGTAGAAGGTCGCACCTCTACAACGTAAAGAATCAAGTCTCCTGTCACGACTTCCTACACTCGTTAACTCCACACAGCGAGTTCAAAAGAACCAGACATTTATTCGGGTTGACAGATGGCTCCTGTGACTCGCAACAAAAGAGTGGATCAAATGTGCCACGTCACCGAAGCGACTGGATTCTTCGGCGAGGATGAACGGTAATTTTCGGCGCCTATGGGTGGAGTCGGTAATGATTACCTTCAAAATTGTTTCTTGGCTGTAATTACCAAGTGTTTATAGACGCATGATCCCAAATACGTGATAATCATTGACCGGACTCAACCACGTGATTTAAAGGTTAGAAGAGAAATCAGACGTTTGGAGTGTGGTCCCACGGTCTGACACGTTAGATCCAAGGGTTGGCATGCAAGTTACGAGTTACTGGAAGGCAAAGCTTCCGGTAAATCTGAGTGTACGTGGCGGAATTCGGCCGGAAATACAGCCTCAGATAAATCTGCAACATTTAAGATTGAGGTTTTCACAGCCTTGAGTATGAAGATTTCTGTCTGCTGGGTTGTTGCGCCGTGTAGTCTGGTCGATGTTAACCGACGTTTCAGAGGTCATACTGCCTCCGTCATCAGGGCGATGAGTATGAAGATTTCTGTCTGCTGGGTTGTTGCGCCGTGTAGTCTGGTCGATGTTAACCGACGTTTCAGAGGTCATACTGCCTCCGTCATCAGGGCGATGAACTCAACCCAGAAGACAGAAATCTTCAAATCTGCACCAGTTTAATTTTTTCCCTGCAGGTTTGCAATGATGTTTACAAGACGCAACGTGTTTGGGTACTGAAGATGGCAGAATTTCATTCAACAGATTTATAGAAGAATGTTTTGTTCTAGCCAATTTTTAGTCCACTTAAAACGTGTTGTTTTTATCGACATTAAAGTAACAAGTAAGCAGGTTATGGCAGCTCTGAAGGACGCTGGTAAATTTACATATTTGTGGTTTATTTAACGTCGTGGTCAGTAATTCTGACAAAAGAGTTAGCGTCGAATGATAGAATAATTAGTGAGGAATTAATTGGAAATGATATTGAAGAATACAGTCGTTGGTTAGTATCCCGGCATTTGCCTGTTCGTAGAGTAAAACCACGAAAAACGTCGGTTATAAAAACCAGACTCTAGAACCAGACTTGATCCCGCGACCTCCCGAATGCGATGTTGGTTACCAACTGCTTTAGGCTTGAGGCGTGTGAAGAATCAGTCAACTGCGCAGCGATTTTAATGTCTTCTCTGCTAGTGCAGGACATGCCAATCGAATTGCTACCGGCCAAAATCAACTTCCAAATGTGCAACCCGAGTTTCCGAATAATTCTCACGCTTCAGACGCCTGAAACAGCAGGAAGCTGTCACCAATCGGAACATCTCGATAGACTTTTAGTGCAAGAACCAATTATGAACTCCTTTCCTTTAAGGCCTGCAGAAATGCTGGTTTTTGATGAAACGACTATTACTCTGTTCAGACAAGAAATGAACTAGAACCATTCTGACGGCAAATAAAGTTCCCACGCTCGCCCAATACTTCACGAAAAGCCGGCAGTCCATTGGGACAAACAAACGAATCAGAGAACGCGTATTTCTTTTTGTCGTGAACAGGATTCTTCACCTCAACTCTTCCATTATTTATAGGCAGTGTTCATAATATAACAAAACTAGAAAGATCCATAAAGGGAGAAAAAAAGACGCAACGCTTAATTTCTTCAAGCCAGGAATGTCAGTAGCCGACGTCAAAACTCACGACCAAATTCTCATTCCTTACATCTAAAAAAAAAAAAATGTTCCACGTAAATTCTTTTTACATTTCGACATTTCTGTGAGTCTAAGCTGGAATGCAGTTTGAAATGTGAATCACCCGTCAGTCAGTCCGAGCCTCTGCTACTCTAACCTCGCCTCAAGTTGGTTAATCAGAATCAGCTGTTCATAGAAGA